TAATGAAGAAGTCTCCATGAATCTCATTTGGTTTTACTGAAGACAGGTGTTGAATAAACTTGAACAACTGTTATAATGAGAATCAGCCAGATAGAACAGATGGGTGGGGTTTGGCAGTAGTAGCTTTTCGGGAGCTGGAGCCACACCAAAGTGATGAGATAATATCAACGTGTCAGAAGCATCAAAAGCAGAGAAGGTGCAATATTAGCCTATGTCACATGCTGCTTTTTTCTCCCCTGCCTGGTACATACTGGAACATAGTCACAGCATTCCCAGGGAATACAGGTGGGCACCTCATTGTGGTCTATGATTGATCACATACCACATCATTGTGGTACATAATCTCTAATGAAAGCCATCATTGATGTCTTCCCTCAAACATTTTTCTTTCTACTCTTCCTGCCATGAAATTGATTCTCCTCCTGCCCTTGAATCTGGCTGGTCCCTGTGACTTGCTTAGACCAAGAGAATGGAGTAGATATAACTCTGATAATTCCAGGTCAAACCTTTAGGAGGCCTAGCAGCTTTTCCTTCTGCTCTCTTGGAAGATAGCTGCAGTGTGAGCAGTTCAATGACCTCAAGACTACCTCACTTTGAGGAAGCCCAAGCGAGTCATGGGAAAGAAGAGATAGAAGCATCATAGCTGAGGTTCTGACCTAAGTGAAGAAGCAATCTTAAGTTTTAGACATTTTAACTGCTGTACATACCACATGGAGTAAAAGAACTGCCCAGCCCAGATTGTGAGAACAGGCTATTAATAAGTATTTGTTATTGTTAAGCCATTGTGTTCTGGGCTGTTTGTTACATGATGACAGATATTTGAGACAACTGTCAATATTTAAAATAGGGTCATGCTTCTCTTGATTCCCCCTTTCTTGGCTAAATGAAATAGAGCACTCTTTCAGAAAAAGAAAATGAGAAAAAAAAAAAAGGTACTTGGTACAATGGAAGGAGACAATTCCATTTTGGAGAATGTGTATTTTAGATTCATAAGAGTCTTGTTGAAATAGAGCACTTTCCTCCCTTTTTCACTCTCTCATTCATGCTTAATAAATATATGTTGAATAAATTGATTTCCTACTCTGAGTCATCTGGCACAGTTCTAGGCATGGAGTATATTGTGCCAAATGGGGTAGACTGGGAAAGACAAATATAATGACAAAAAGATTATTCTGCTAGTGGTAATTATAGTCTTTCTAGGGGTCCTTCCCTGACTCATCAGCATCAAATGGGTAGACAAGGAAAAAAAAAAGAAAGAAAATGTTCCTCTTGAGCTTGTAATACAGTTTAATTTTCTGCAACCTAATTAGCAGTTTCTGGGTATAAGTATATATTCACAAGTCACAGTGCCGTCTGGACTTTTCCTTTTTGTACTTTATGGTCTAGCTTTGCTAATAATGTAGCTGATCTGATAAGATAGGCTTTCCTTCTTACCCTATCAGCTTTAGGAGACGCAAAGATGCTAATACTGGAGGAAGTGCCATCTATGAACACAAATCCTGAGACAGTCATTGCTGTGCCCACAGAAAATGAGTTTGAATTAGGAAAGAGAAACAAGGAAGTGGATATTTTATACTCCTAAATATCTGGAAGACTTCAGTTGCTCATCTTATTCTCAGGAAAGGTATTTTTCATAAGACTATTTCAAGTGGAAAAAAACACTCTTCAAGGGGGCCCAGTGGTATACACTGGGAGGCTGAGGCTGGAGCATGGTTTGTGCCCTGAAATTTGGAGTCAACCTAGGCAATATAGCAAGACCCTGTCTCCTAAAAAACAAAAACAAACAAAACTCACTCTTTTTTCATACATAGCATGATTCTGGTACATTTCACTATGGAAGATCTTCCATATTCTTTTAAATTAGCGATAATTTCTTTTTTCCCCCAACATCTATGCCATTTTTATATTTTTTTCAGTTATACAGACCTTTATTGATGAGTGTTCTTTTTAATCCCTTCCTCCAAAAATCCTGCTGAGAGCAATATGACTCAATTCCTTGTAAGATACCAAGATTCAATTCTAATCATATTATATATAACCCTCATATCACCATCTTTAACCTTGAATAAGATAAGCAAAAGAAGATTATAAAATTTGATAAACTTTTGTACTATTCATTTTTTAAAAAATATTTTTTTTAGTTGTCAGTAGACTTTTTTTATTTATAAGTGGTTCTGAGGATTGATTGAACCCAGTACCTCACACATGGTAGGCAAGCACTCTACCACTGAGCCACAACCCAGTCCTTTTGTACTATTCTTTACTTTCCCTTCAAAATTATGCTGAGCTATCCAAGTAATGCTATGAGTAGCCAATGAGAAGACATTTAAAATAATAAGTTTCAATAATGACCATGAAACAAGACTAATCTTGAAGCCTGAGGATACTATTCTTCAAGTTTGTTTCTTTCATGTTAAAGTCTAATTTTAATCATCTTTTCACAGAAAGAAAAAGGATAGGCATAGTTATATTGATTTTTTAAAACACATTAAGAAATACTTTTATAAAAAATAGTATTGAATTTCTTTCTTTTTTTTTTTTTTTTTTGTACTGGAGATTGAACCCAGGGTGCTTTACCACTGAGCTACAAGGTCTGCCATTCTTATTTTACTTTATTTTGAGACAGGGTTTCTGTAAGTTTTTAGGGCCTTGTTTAGTTGCTGAGGCTGACCTTGAACTTGCAATCCTCCTGCCTCAGCCTCCCAAGTCAATGGGATTACAGGCATGCACCTGGCTAGTATTGCTTTCTTAAAACAAATTAACAAATGATTTTATAAAAAATGGCTACCTACAAAATACCAATGAAATTTTTCACAGAACTAGGAAAAATATTCCTAAAATTCATTTGAAAGAATAAAAGACCCAGAATAACCAAGTCTGAGAAACGCCAGAAGCATCATGATACCCAGTCTCAAATTACAATCAGCTATAGGAACAAAAACAACATGGTATTTGCAAAAAAAAAAAAAAAAAAAAAGTCACGAAGACCAAGGAATAGAAGACACAGAAACAAACCTAAATAGATACAGTCATCTGATTCTTGACAAAGTTGCCAAAAACATACATTGGAGAAAAGACAGCCTTTTTAACAGATGTTTCTGAGAAAACTAGATATGTAGGAGAATGAAACTAGAGCCCTATCTCTCACTGTGCTTAAAAATTAACTCAAAGAGGATCAAAGACTTAGTAATTAGACCAGAAATTCTGCAAGTGCTAGGAGAAAACATAGGACCAACACTCCAACATTATCAGCAGAGGGGTCAGCTTCCTTAACAACCAAATGCCAAGAAACAAAAAATTTTAGTCTTTTTTAAATATCCTTTCTCCTTTTGCTTTCCTTCTTTTCCTTCTAGTTTTCACATATGAGAATAAAGATATGACTTTCTGAGTTTGTCATATTTCACGTAATGTAATGCTCTCAAGTTTCATCCCTTTCCCACCAATTTTGTTCTTCTTTATGGATAAATAAACAAATCTATTGTGTACATTTAACATTTTCTTTATCCTTCATTTGTTAGGGGACACCTAGCCTGGTTCCATATCTTGGCTATTATAAATTGCACTGCTACAAATGTGGGTATGCATGCATAGCTATAGTATGCTGACTTTCACTCTTGAGGATAAACACCAAGAAGTTGTGTAGAGCAATGATTTGTCTGGTAAATTTTGCCTCACTTTCTTCATTTTGTCAAATATTATGCTGCCCATGATACATGCTTAATAAAATGTATGTGTATACACACACACACACACACACACAAATGTAACAGTGCCTGGAGGTAATTGAAATTAACTAAACTTAGTTTTACCCTTATAGAGGTTATTTGCTTCCAGGTAAAATCTGGGAAAAGTGAAGATTTCTACTGCTAGGATTCAATTTTAATGTATTTTCACTTAAATGTTAACTTTTTTTAAAAGAGAGAGAGAGAGAGAGAGAGAGAGAGAGAGAGAGAGAGAGAGAGAGAGAATTTTAATATTTATTTTTCAGTTCTCAGCAGACACAACATCTTTGTTTGTATGTGGTGCTGAGGATCGAACCTGGGCCGCACACACGCCAGGCGAGTGCGCTACCGCTTGAGCCACATCCCCAGCCCCAAATGTTAACTTTTCAAGTTCTGTTTTCTTCTTGAATAAATTTCATATTCGTCCAACGTTAATGGACAACAGCTAATCTTTAATTATAATTTATTAAGAGTGACTATTTAATATACTTAATGATATTAGTTTAAAAATAATCGGATGGTTGAAATTAATTAGGAGAAAGAGGTAGATAAAGGAAAGGAAGAGAAGATTTAATTTATTTTAAAACCTAAAGACATAATGTCAAAAGAACTAATCTTGTAATATCTGTTCTGGAAAACTCATTAAAAAATTCTATGATATTAAAAAAATAATTGATACATCTTGGGCTAAAGCAAATCTAGTACACATTTTGAAAAATTAAATGAAAATTAATATACGGTAGAGAGGGAAAAATATCACAGAAATTAGTAGTTTTGTCATTTTTTATACTTATCACATATTTGTGGACTGAGTCAATAAAAGTATTATTGGTATAGAATTTGAAAAAAAAATCCAATGAGATTATTGTAACTTTCACAGCATAAGCTTTGGCAAAATGAGGACATGTAGTGACTGAGACTTGTCAGTGTTTTGAAATGAATGGTAATGTCATGATATGGTCAGGACAACCAGCTTAACACCAGGAGCCATATATTTAGACTGTGATTTAACAGGAAACAAACTGATAATATTCAATTTATAAGATAATCTCTGTAGGTGGTGGAAAATCTAACCTTTAGGAGGATTCAGACGTTTTCTTCTTTAACCACTGTGCAAAAACTTACCTGATATAAAGAGGCCCTGAAATAGCTGTAAGGTGGTCCAAAATCACCTCCAGTCCTACCTCTGTGGTATCTCATCCTGCAGTGAATGCAGGATTTATAAACAGACTTAGAAATAGCGACAGCATGTGATTCCTTTCTCTAATGCTTTCTTACCTTGGGTAACAAATGCCTGAGAGACGTGCACTTCCTCCCAAGCCTTTCTGAAGGGCCCACTGAGCTCTCTGAGGGTGATCTCCAGCCTCCACTTCCAAACAGCATCTCTGCAATGAAATTGGAAAAGTGGATCTGGAACCTTGGCACGAAGATCCCCCACCCCCAAGAAGATAACAGCAGACTCCAAGAGGAAAGTGCTTTTCTCACCGAACCCCAGGTGGATACAGGCATGGAGAGGGAGAATGTGGAAACCAGCTACACATTCCATACCACCCCAGGAAGCTCCATGAAGATTCCTTAGGATTTACCACGACAGACACCACTATAATTTCTTCTATCCTCCACTTAAAGACACAAGCCTGATTCAGTTCCCACCCAAAAAGTCTGGGTTTGTATCGCTGTTTGGAAACCAATGTCTTCTCAAATCGTGGAACACTTAACTGAAAATGTCTCTATTTCCTTTCACTAATTGATTCACAGACAAGATGGGATTAAAAGCTTCTAAGTTCTGAGAGAAGGGGTGATGAAGGGGTCAGGAGTGGCACAGGTGAGAGAATCTTCCCTAATCTAATACAGTATTGACTCTGGACCTAATTTCTGTTGATGACTTGAAAAACAGTGGCTTTGGGACACTGTGATTTGGGGAACAATAGTGTCTATCAGGTGTTGGTTAGCGTCTTTTGAACCATCTGGCCATTCATTTATTCATTCCATAAAAACGTAACAAGTGGTTAGCTTATTTCCCAAATTATACTAGGCTCCAGAAATAGTGCACTTAATGAGACATGGTTCCTACCTGCATTTGAGCTTGTGGTGTAGAGGAGAAGGCAGATACTAAACAAAACTGAAAGGCAGGTGTTCAATATTTGCAGTTGGGTGCTATGGCGAGCGCATAGAGCTGTGGGAACACACTAGAGGAGAGTTCCTAACTTCTTCCAGCTGGTAAAGAAAAGGCCACCAAAGTGATTCTCCTCTGGGTGTCCTGGGTGTAAATGACTTACTTTCCCATGCACTAGTTTTCTCATATAAAGTTGAGAGGGCTTAGAAGAGATAAACTCTAAGGTCTCTTCCAGCAATAAGATGCTGCAATCATAGTCAAACCTCCAATATCATGTTCCAGGTCTTTTTCTGCAAGAGCAGTTTGAAGATTTTGTGTGTGTGTGTGTGTGTGTGTGTGTGTGTTTGTGCGCGCGCTGGATGGTACGTTCTTCTGATTCATAGTGAACTGTCACATGCTTCAAAGGTGCCAGCTCAGAGAGTGGTACCCTCTCATTTTCTCCCTGATGTAACCAAGTACATTAGCAAGACCCCAAATTATTCTCCTTAAACCTTTCATTACCAAAATAAGGGAATGAGTAAAATACAGATATGTGCAAATAATCCCTACAGTTTCCATAGTTTCCACAAGTGGTAAAAACACAAGTGACCTCCAGTCGGTGCTGCAATCTGGCTTTTTCAAGACTTATTTCTGTTTTCCTCCCCTATTGAGATTAGAAAATGAAAATACTCAATTCTCAGGCTCTTTTCTAGGTAAGGGTAACTATACAATGCAATTCTGGCCAGTGAGGTGTAGTTAGAATTCCTGGGGCAGTAAGAGAACTTCTTGGTGCTCTGCATTTCTTATTCTTCCTGCTTGGAACAAGCCCTTGATGGCTGGAAATACAGCAGCCATCATGAAACCAAGAGGAAAGAAAGGCATCACTGAGGTTGACAGAGCAGAAAGGGAATGAACTTAGTTCTTTGATGACATTTTAGAGAACCTGCCTCAACCTTAGATAATCTACATTCCACCAAATATTTTAAATATTTACTGGATCTTTGGTTGTCAGAGATGAACATAACCCTAACAATAACAATAATAATAATACTGATTATATATAGAAAGGTCATATACGGAAACCTCAAGATGGCCTTGGTGAACTTAGCAGCAACCCCAAAATTGATCAGAACATCTTATTCCTTGGTTCCAGTGGTGTAAAATCTTATGAAATATTTCATAGAATTTTATCCTCTAGGTATAAAGCTTCCAGGACCAACTGTATTAACCAAGATGAATATACACTTAATTTTGAAAAATCCAGAATTATGATCACTCTAAATTCAATGATGAGGTACTGTGATTCATTCAGAGAGACAGAGGCAGACTGAAAATACATATTTTTAAAAATATAAAGCTGCCTCAAGCTGCATGTCATGAGGGATTTTTCTAATCTAAAGTAGACATTTCTCATACTTAAACATTTTCAGAATATGTGAGGTTCTTTGTGCCTTATTAAACCAAGTGTTTTGAAAATGTCACCCCTGGAGCCTCTAAAGTCAGACTAACTGGCTCGGATCTTTCTTTAATTCTTACTGGCTGTGCAATATTGGACAATTTACTGAATTTCAAGAATGTTCAGTTTACTCAAGTGTTGGTTTGTGTTTCATGACTATAATGAAATACCTGAGGCAAGCTAACTTTATAAGCAAAAGAGCTTAATTTAACTCACAGTTTTAGAGATTCAAGGGCATAGTACTTGCTTGGGTTCAATTCTGACGATGTTTTTTTTTTTTTTTTTAACTGTCAAAGTTCAAAGGTGCCACAAGACACAGAGAGGGTACATCTGAACTCTGCCCCCTCTTCTTATAAAGCCACAGGATTCAATCACGGGGTCTCCATCTAATGACCTCATTGAAACCTAATCACATCCTCAAAAGCCTCTACTCGGAACACCATAGTTGGGTTCAGTTTTCATTCTCTCAATTCCATTAGCGTATTTGGGATTAAATGCCTGCACAAGGGTAACAAACCATATTCAAACCATAGTGCTTCATCTGTAAAAAAAAAAAAAAAAAGAGAGTAATAATGCCAATTATTGCAGAAGACTAGATTGTATACAATTAAATTTTCCAGTAACTGTTAACTGTTATAATTACCAAGGAAGAAGCTTTCCCTGAAAATTTATGTTTCATTTTTAGTTGACATAAAGTTTCTTTCTTCATGTTTAAGTTACATCAGGTCTCTTAGTTCATTTTCTGTTTCGATAACAAAATACTCAAGGATGGGAAATTGATAAAAAGTTTATTTGGCTCATAGGTTTGGGAGGCTGTGAAGTTCCAAAGCGTGCTTCTGGCATCTCTTGGCAGCTGATGAGGGCCACATGCACATCTTAACATGGCAGATAAGTGGAAGAACAAGAACAAGTGGGGGCATGTCGAAGAAACAACCCATAAAGCTCAGCTTTGTTTTTTATAATAACCCTGCTCTCACAGTAACTAATCCTGTCCAGAGAGAGTGAGAATCTGGGGGAAAAGCATTAATCCCTCTTAACTTCTCAAAGCTGCACTTCCCAACACCACCGCAGTAGCAATCAAGTGTCAATATGAGTTTCAGAAGTGACAAGCCATATTTGAACCACAGTGATGGGGAAGAGGTCATCAGTAATATTTTTGATAGATGATATATAATAGTCCTACCGGACTCCTTGGATTCCTTGGAGCTCCATGAAGTCAAGGAACATTTTTGCCCAGTGCCAAGCACAGTGTGTTTGGTACATAGTAGGTACTTGATAAACACTTCTTAAATTGACTGAGTACATGCTATGGAAGGAGGCAAAAGGAATTCCCTTTATCTCTGTGTCTCTTTATCACATTACATATCTGAGGGCCAAATATAAGAACTATTTTTTAGAGCTTAAAGTCCCCACTGTCTCTGAATACTCACTTCTGAACTCCCAGGTCTTTTTTTAAAATTTTAGTTTATATTTCTAGTACAATATTATTTGTATTACAAACAGATCACAAATTACTTGAGTTTTCTTTTGTTTACTTGTTAGTTTTGTTTATTGTGTTCAAGTGGGGTATCCGTGGTATGGGAATTCAATTTAAGCCCTTGAATTATTTATTAAAATTAAAATTTCAAGCAGGGACGATCACAGCCAAAACAAGAAATGGATTTCATCAAGTCTCAAGATGACTATTTTGTACTTCTGCTGACCCCAAGAATGGAACTAAGCACTTCGTTATCAACAGATGAATACTTTTGCCTTCCAAAAAAATGAGACGGTCAACAGCACGTCTTCCCCTGAAGTTTTAGCTCGTAATTGACTAGCATGCATTGTCCACAAAACAAAACATCATTAGAAGTGAAAATGTAGACTGGTAAATTTTATAAACCCAGTTACTCTGCCTATATGTGGCAAAAGAGGTTCCATGCTAGATGGATCTGCATTATAGGCAAAATTAGTAGTTTGGGATGCATGTTGAATACAGAGCAAGTTAAACCACATGCAGGTTCTTTTCTGTGAAGTTTTTTTTTTTTTCCTAAAGTGCTCAGGCAACATTTATAAGCAACCATGTTATAAAACTTATTAATATACTTATGTTAATGTCTGTATCCATATCCTCAGTCCTGGTTTCTCAGCTGTAAAAGGCTCAAAGTTTCTTTATAAATAAATGTATTTGAAAGGTTATTTATATTGTAACAATAGGTGTATTAATGTCACATCATAACAGCTTTTCATATCTGAAGTGCATGTCTTAGGATACTGGAGGGAAATTAATTAAACCAAAAAGGAATGCTTCTAGCATGTCATTATTTTTGCAGGAGAATAAATGGCTTTGGCTGAATAGCATCTGTAAATAAAAGGCACACAAGATCTCCTCCTGCTTTCACTCACAAAGATTCATCTCATTAAAATAAAACTAATGGATGCTTTTTAAAATTCTAATTTCCACTTAATGTTGTTAAGACTTCCAAAGACACTGAACTAATTTTATCATTTGAAATCCTTTCCTTTTATGTCATGAAACATTTAAATGTCCCTGTGCTAGTCACTGTGGGAAACAAGAATAAATAAGATATGTTTCTTAATCAAAGAATGGTCCAAATCAGAGATAAAAACATGTAAAGATGAATATATCTTGACAAATGTTCTACTGGATTTTACATAATGAGGAGTCACGGAATCTTAGAGAAGGAAAAACCTTATCCTATACCTGGAAGGTATGAAAGTGCATCTGTGGGAGACTTCTCCAGATTCTCATGTTAAAGCTGTGCTTTTGTCCTGTTGTGTATGATGTAATGTATGATGTGTCGAAATACATTCTACTGTCACGTATAACAAAT